TCAAATATTAGTTTTTACTTTAAAATTTATTCCTTCCTTCCTCAGTCGCTCGACAGCCCAGGGTGGGCCTTCGCCTTCTCAAGAAGCCTTTTCCAGGCCAGCCTTCCTTTTGCTAGTGTTCTCCAATTCTTAGTTCTCAAAACTAGGAGATCTTTTTCTATGTCATCAATCCATCTAAAATTTGGCCTGCCCTTTTTCGTGTGCCGATTGGTTGGGCATTGAAGACTTTTTTAGTGGTGTGGTTTTCGCCCATTCTAACAACGTGACCTGCCCATTTAATTCGTTGTATTTTGATGAAGTTAACAATGTCAGATTCTTTATATGATTGAGGGAGTTCTAAATTTTTGATCTTCTCCACGTTCCATTTTTCTGAATTCCTCCAAAATAAATCTTAAAATCTTCCTTTCACATAGATACTTATCATGATCTCATCTGTTCGAGACATGGACCAAATTTTACATAATACTGATTAATTAACTGATTTTAAATACTGATTTTAAAAGACTTTTATACAATAGAACCTTTGTTTTTCTTTTGATTAAATTCGATTTCATGTGTTTTCGTATTCCATAAGATATCTGTTAGCCATAGTGACTCTCTTTTGGATTTCAGAAGTACAATAGTTTCTATTGTTAACTGATTAAATTCGATTTCATATATTTTCTTAAAATTTATTATTTAATTAAAATAAATAATCATTATTATTGAATTATGTAATAAATAAAGGAAGAATAACTGGGAGACGGGGTCTCAGATTATTTAGTCATTACTATTTAACAAATTTGATAAGTTTTATAATTTTCCATTTCATATTTAACCGTTTTAGTGCAGCGAAGCGCTTATTTTATACCGAAAGTTACTACGCATTTCACACACATTCCACACTTTTAGCATATATATAAGAAAACTCTTCAGCAATCAAACGGTTAAATAATATTTGCAGAAATGTATAGAAGACCCATGCCCAAAAGGAAATTTAAATTTTTATTTTAAAAAAACCCCACCTTGTAACTACACTGGTGTGCAAACCTTAAACACGGGGTTTATTCCTAATTTTAAAAAAAATCATCTGGGGGCGAAATTTAAATGAGGGAGTATTATGTACGAAGGATGAAAGACGGCGCGGAAAAAGGAATACAACGAAACGGTATGAACAAAAAAAAAAGTTTATTGAACGTAAGTACTGACTCATGATTGTCTTAACAGGAAGAACAACAAGCAGATGCCTTAATATGGTTTTCCCCCCCCTTACTCTGGTTGTTTTGCACCGTCTCCCATACTCAGAACCAGCTGGTGCAACATTTTTTGAGGTAGGGTGCCCATTCCTCAATCAACATCTGTTTGGGGTTTTTGGTTGTACCCGGGTGATTTAGTGATACAGTCTCCCAAAACATCCCCCACATGTTCGTTGGGATTTAAATCTGGGGGGCACGTCCCAACATTCAGTGATATCTTCACTTTCCCGCAGCCCCCAACAGCAAGGTGCGATGTGGCCGGGATTGTCATCCATAAAAAGAAATCGGGCCAAGGGACCCCGGAAAAGATGAGATGGGGAAGAAGACCCCCCCAATAGCGATCCCCGGACAGACACCCGTCGAAAAAAGGGGAAACCAGTTCCCCCTTCAGAAATCCAAACAGACAAAAAAACCCAACCCCGTAACATGTCTTTCCTTTATGTTACGGGGTAAAACCGGGGCCCTTCTCTCCAAACAAAAGCTTGAGAACGCTTCGGTACAAACCATCTCATCCCTAAAGAGAACACGACTCCATTTATCAGTTGTCCAGTTTTTTTGCTCTCGTCCCCCTGAAACGGGGGCTTTGGTGGGAACTTTCAACGGGGGGAGCGTTCGAGAGGCAAGGCCCCCTTTTTTTGGGCGCTGGCCACGTAAAACCGCAATTGGACCCGTTTCTGTACAGGTTTCGGGCAAAAGGCGCTGACTGCGTCGAACTTTTCGCCTGAGGGTATAATTTGGTTCCCCTGCAGGTCGTCCCCGGGGGGCCACACCAACCTTTTTAACAGCGCCCCTGGTTTTTAACGCTTTTTCCCAAGGGGCGAAACGATACTTTTTTTGATTCCAACCTGCAGCCCCGGTGACAAGCCCCCCCTCCAGCTTTTGATCATTCTTCCACGGGGAGTCATCCAAGATTTCTTCTAGCCATTTTAAACCCATTCACGGCACTTAGAGAATATGGTGTTTTCGTCTCCGTCCTCATTTCATTCTACGTTACGCGCCGGGTCACGCGTTTTGCGTACGCCCAAAAATCGCTTCTGATTTTTTGTTCCGATATTTGCCCCATCTTCAGACTTACGTTTTCCCCTCTACTGATCTCCAGCCCTTTTTCGCAATTTCGGGCATTGCAAAATTTTTTACATTGTTGTTGTTTTGAAACCCCAGTGTACTTGGTGCAGTTTGATATAACGTAGAAGCTAAAGGGGATAAAAGGCAAAGGCCTGCCATTAGTCGTTTCCCCGAGCCCCACCCAATTTGTCGGAAACCCTTTTTAACAGGCGCCAAACCAATCTACCAATATTTTCAGCGCAACACAGTGGACATTTTTTAATTCGTTTCCCCGGATAATGCTAAAAAATAGAAAATAAAGGTCAATAACATAAATTTACACCTCTATTATGTATTAATTTTGCAACATTTAAATATATTTCTTAACAAAAAAAAGGATAAAAATATATAAATTTTTTCAATAAAAATAAAAGAAATTAAAATTGAGCATATATTATGTATTTTTAAACATATTTATTCAAACAAGAAATAAACATCATAGAAAAAAAATTTTACTAATGGACGAAAAAATTAGTGCATCAAGAAGGAGACGTCAAAATGAAACGAAATTTTACATACGTAATGACTACTTTGATATGATAAATGATTTTTGAAAGAAAAGGATAATTTATTTCAGAGAAAAGGCAAAAGGATGGAGATTTTTACCTGAACCCCACTAGGCGAAAGCACGATGCGATACAACGGTATTAGGGCCCCAAAACTCTGTTTTATGCTTGGCATTTCGTTTCCCTATTTGCTGTAACCTTGCCTCTAGTTCGTTCAAACTCTGGGTCCCCCAAACACGTCCAAAAACCCAAATTCTGATTGGGGACAAATCTGAGGATCGGGACCCAAAAAGGGTGGTAACAGTGCGGGGTTTCGGACACCCCTTGCTGTATGAAGCTAGTATTGTTTGGAAAAAGGGTCCCGGGAGCCGTTGCATGATGGAAAATGTGGTTTAAAGGGTTCATGGATACGCTGGGCTGTCATGGTGCCACGATCAATACTAGGGGTGACCGTGTATTGTAGGCAATGACACCCCATGCATCACCCATGGGGAGGGGGGAAAAGGGTTGTAACGTTCACCACGGGTTCCACACGAACACGAGTCACACTGCTGAATTGAATTTCTTTCTACAAAGACGACCTGGTTCCTTCCGCCAGTCCTTTTTCCCTCGGGGCGCACCCCCCCAAATGGGGGCGTCGAGGGGTTGGCGTCAAGAGCACCATTAACGGGTGCCGCGATCCCCAAATTCCTTCACCCGGCACCTTCGTGGTTCGGAAACGGCCCTTAGTGAAGGTGCTACCTGTGCCTGGGGTCGGCGATGAAGCAGTTGGCTGTACGGGGCTTTTTTGCGATGTGGCGGTCTTCTGACGCTTCGTCGAGGGTCCTAAGCCTGGTTTTCGTGTAAATGACATTTTTCGGCCCCCGGGTCCCACACCCCTCCAACACAAGAGAACGGCCAAATTTACGAGCACTCGCCTAGCTACCCCCCACTCATCATGTCGATGATTTCCCCCCAAAAACTGTATAGCCCCTAAATTTATTTTTAACCTTTCCCGTAAAAGATTCCCCCCCAAAAAATTTTTTGGGTTTCCCTTTTTGTTTCCCTGAGGATTAAATTTCCTTCATTTATTTTAATTTTTGCATATCTTCCCCTGACCCCCTCCTTTTTAATCCAAAATAGGGGTTAATTTTTTTTTTGAATTTTTTAAACCCCCAATTTTTTAAAAATTTTGAAATAATGAAAATTTTTAAAAAAGGGAAAATTTTCTTTTTCCCCACGAAAATATTTTGTTAAAAATTTTTGGAAGAAAATTTTTTTGTTTTTTTGCTTCATATTGAATCCAAAACGAAAAAAAATGCGTTTTTTTCAAACACAACAATTATATACACCGAAAAACATTCAATAATCCAAAATAGTCTAAATTTATCTCTAGGGGGTTATCTTCTAGGGTTTATAATTCCTAAATGTTAATTTTGAAATGTTTGTCAAATAAAATTCATTAAAAAAATCAACTTCCATCCATTAAAATATTTAAAAAATAGTCAGAGTGCCACATTTGGGGGTTAGGTGCCAAAATTTCCCCGAATACTTTCCCATTTGATGATTTGAAAGAAAAAGATGGGGAAAAAAGGCTATATTACTAGAAAACTGCAATGCAGTTGCATGTAGAAAAAATTGATTTACGTTGGGTTTGGTTTGGTGTTTTATGGCGCAAGAGCCAGTTTTGGCTATCCGCCAAACATTCATGGTCTGTGGTCTGGACGGGAAAAAAAGAAAAAAAAATTGGGTGACAAGATGGAGTTCGAAAATAGAGAAGGATCACTGGGTACCCGTCATTGAAAGACAAAAAAAAAATTGACGAATAAAATTTTCAGTTATATATATATAAGAAAAGAGGATTCCTTATATATATTAAACTGGAAACCTTTGAAATCTTCTATAAATTTGGTTATTTTATAGACTATTAATTTAATGAAATCTGGAATAAGTTTTTTAAGCACACAAATGCAAGAAAATACGACTATTTTTGAAGTTATACTTCTTTTGGGGCGTTAGAGAAATAGGATGAGGGTAAATTTTTCAATGCACGCGCACACCGTCATGGATGCGCGCGCGCGCGAAGATCCTTTGTCTAGAAATATACAGAACGAGACAAATCATTCCCGCCCCTTCGAAATTCTCAGAAAAATATTTCTCTTCACTTCTCTGACGAAGAAGACTCCCGGGTCTGGACCGGGGACCACTCGATCTGCAGTCGAACGCTCTACCACTAAGCACACACAATACCCCCGCGTTAGCTAACCTTTGCTTTGCATTCCGTAGGAACGGATACGAAAATGCTTTTATTAGAAATATGCAGAACGTGACAAATCATTCTCGCCTTCGAATTTCTCAAAAATATTTATCTTCACTTCCCTGAAGAAGGGAGCATCCGGGTTTGAACCGCGGACCTCTCGATCTACAGTCGAAAGCTCTACCACTGAGCTATACCAAAGCCGTCTAGAAAGGACCTCTGTACAGAGGCTCAACTAGAATTTTTGAAACGTATAACTTGGAAGTCGGTTTATCCATGTTTTATGAAAACAGAAGGGAGAAATTTTAAGAAAATACGCCGATAATTATTTCTGAATGGTTGTAACTCTGAAATAATCTGAACTTTTCAAAATCATAGTGAGCCTCTGTACAGAGAAGTCTGAGCTATATACAGGCAAAATATTAATACACAGAAGCATTTTTTACAAAAGGAGAACATTTGGAAAAAAGGTTATTCTAAGTTAATTTTTTGCCAAAATATTGTATTTAAAAATTTTTTTGTCATAATGTCCTTAAAACAATTTTATACATGTATTCTAATCTAAGTGACACTAAATATCATGAAAATTATGCATTTATGCGCTTTTTTAAAATCATGGTTCCGAACGTAGTCGGAGATCTTAAGAAAAAATGGCACGTGGATTCCTAAAGGTTCACCACCCCTGAGACCACTTCGGGAACTTAAAGTCCCGCTTTTGAAAAAATGAACTTTGTTGCCACAAATATTTACTGATACCCTCATAAACAGAATGGTAGCTCGTTGTGAGGCTTGTATAACAGCTCACAGGGCACTCCATATTAGACAGATTTTTCCCGAGGTAAATACTTTTTCCTGATTCATGATTTTATCCTTTTGGATAAAACTTGTACCGTAAAATCCGGCGTATAACGCGCACCCATATTTTTAAACTGAAATTTTTAATTTTTAGGTATATTCGCCGTATAACGCGCACCCCCTTTCTTACGAAGAAACCTGTAATGTACACGCGCAATGTTCTTATGTTTTGAAGTCATTTATTCGGCGTATTATTACAAGCTTTAGAAAAAAAAATAGTATATACTTCTAGAACTACAACCCTTTAAGTTCATAAGAAGTGTATAATTTCTTTCAAATTAACAGTATTTCGATACATATACAAGTCTAATTTTTTTCTATGCTCAACTTTTTCAACCCCTAAATTTCGATCTTAATTTTTGAGTTAAAAGTGCGCGTTATACGCCGGATTTTACGGTATTTTAATTAACAATTAGAATCTTTTCTACATTGTTATTTTGCTAATTTCCTACTGACGTTGTAATATGTCTCTGTGCTAAATTTCGTGGGAACACTGTGAATAGTTCATCAGTTTTTACAGATTTTATGTTTGTGATTTTAATTTAGAACATGAGTGTAAATTATGGACTGAAAAAAACCAAGTTTTCTTAAATAACTTTAAATAAGTTTGAGAATTATAACTAACTACTTTTAGGGTTAATAAATGTTTCTGTGTCCTACTTTAGCTTAATGCTTATTGACAGAGAAAAAGCTTAAATTTTGCAATGATAACAGTAAACAACTCTTTTTCTACTTGTGAAACTCATTTCAAGAGATTGCGTAGGTTTTGATGACGCACTTCCAAGATCAGTGGCCATGGCAACCCCAGGATTAAGAAAGTTAGATCAATAAATGCCACGTGCCTGTATTCAGAATCGAGAGCATATTTTTGGAAAATATTTCGAAGTGATACACAAAGAAGTACTAAATATAAATTATACATACAGTGCAGAGGTGAATAAGAATCCAGATTTTTATGAGATAGAATAGTAATGGGCAAACATTTTCAGGAGCAGGCGTGAAAAAAAAAAAAAAATTGAGCTGGCCAATTTAATTTATAATTAAAGGCAACAAGATTTTCAAAAGATAATGTTTTTGAAGTTATTTAATTCTACCAGAATGAATTAAGGTGTAACTTTGTCTTTTTCAATTTTTTTAAAAACTTTAATACAAAAGAAATTATATATTTTTTAAAGAGAGTTCCACATTTTACTACGGAAAAAGTTTTTAAGTAAATCTCTATATAAATTATAACTATATTTTTTGTATATGTATAAAACATGGGATAATTTCTATAGAAATTTGGTATGTAAAAATTGAATATTCTCATTTAATTGAATTTTTTTAAGCATTGAAATTGAAAATTTTTTAACTATTGCTTAAAAATCTATGATGGGTCTTATAAAAACTCTAGGGCAGCGATATACTCAACCTGCGGCCCACCGGACCTTTTTCAGTGGCCCGGTCATGGCCCATTGCTCTGAGAAATTCAATTATTTATGAAAATTTGGCGGAAAATTCTTTGTTAAAAAGTCAAATATATCAATTTTGCTTTTTGCTGTCGATGTCGTATGGGTGTGAATAGATATTTTTTTTCTGGTCAGTGATAATAGACAACATTTTACAAGTGGAACTAATTTTTAACTATCTTTCATATCTTACAAGCGAAAAATATTCGAAGAAAATAGATTGTTTCAAGACGATTGGGAAGATGACTATTTTGTAGTGAAAAACAATCATGGTTTAGTAATTGTTTGATTGTCCCGAAAGTGTATTTAAAAAATAGTAATAAACAGAGGAATCGTTCAATTACACTTTTTCTGGAAGATCTCTTTTAAGAGATGATAAATAAACCTTCTTGAATAATCTTTACTAAACAAAAAAAGTATTTTGTCAGTGGTAATGTCACAACGATAACAAAGGCACCCTACGAAATTTGTTTTATCATTGGTAATCATATGAAACCGTTTACTGATGCAGAAATAGTGAAATAGTGATTCTTAAATGCTTCCAATTTAGAAAGGTTCGGTGACAAAAAATAATAATAATAATAATTAAAAAAAGCAAAATAGGAGTTTTAATATTTTGATCAACTTCCACTTTTTAAATTTTATATGTTATCTTGGTTTTAAAAATTTTTCCTCCCCCATCATCCCATGTTGGCCCCGGGGAAATAAACCATCATATATGCGGCCCGCGTGAAATAGCTAATATATGTATGTGGCCCGCCAGAAAAAGAGGCTTTCTCCTGCTCTAGAGAGAGGAAAAGGGCTTCTGACCCACGGGCCATAATTTACTCATCAATGAGCTAAGGCAAGCATGAAAAACTCAGGTCAATTCGAGCCAAAGAAATATTGCTTTAAATTTAAGGTATCCGACTACGTTTGGAACCGTGATATTGCAAAAGCGTGTAAATGGATAATATTTATGATATTTAGTGTCACTTAGATTAGAAAATGTATATAAAATTTTTTTAAGAATAGTATTACAAAAAAAAAATTATTTAAGTACAATATTTGACAAAAATGAACATAGAATGAGCCATTTTCAAAATATTCTCCTTTTAAAAAAGGGTTCTTATAATAATAATATTTTGCCTGTCTATAGTTTAGACTCTGTACAGAGGCTCAACTAGAATATTTGAAATATATTACTTAGAAGTGGGTTTACCAGTTTTACGACCACAGAGGGGAGATTTTAAGAGAAAACGCCGATCATTATTTCAATGGGTTGTAACCTGAAAATAAAGGGGAAATTTTCAAAAATCATAGTTACCTCTGACAGCGGTCTGGTCTATATACAGGAAAATATTTATAATAAAAGATTTTCACAAAAGGAGAAATTTGAAAAAGGCTATTTAAGTTAATTTTGCCGAAATATAGTATTTAAATAATTTTAATGTCCTTATAAAACCATTTTATACATGTATTCTAATCTAAGTGACACTAAATATCACTAAAATTATCCATTTATGTGCTTTTTTTTAAAATCACGGTTCCGAACGTAGTCGGATACCTTAAGTAAACTAAAAAAAAATATGTTTGTCTTTAAACTTTGTAATTGTACTACCGTATTAGCCCAACTAAAAATTTGTCTCTGTAAAGAACATTTTTAATAACTTTGTACATGATTCAGTTTTTCAAAGTTAGCTACAAAATTTTAACTAAAATGCTCATTATATACTTTTACATTGGCAATGGTGAATATATAAAATTCGTTGTGCGTCGTATGCAGCCTAGAATTGGCTCTTGTTCGTTATAGTCAATCACAAATACGCCGTATGCAGCACGAGGGTCATGAATCTGAGATATTTGGCATATAGTCTAACCCAGGGGTGGGTAACATTTTAGCAGTGGCGTGCCCAAAATAATCTACCCAATCATTCATCATGACACACAGTAGGGCATTTTTGAAACAATTCGATTCCCGCGATATTGTATACAGTTAGAGATGAGAGGTCAATAATATTAGATTTACGGTTTTATTACTTTTTTCATTTTAAAGATTTTTTTAACTTAAAATAAAAAAAAAAATTGGGATATAACTATTTCCTTAACAAAAATTTTAAAAAATTAAAATTGTACACCAATTATGTATTTTTTGACAAATTTATTAATTTCTCTTAATCACAATAATTTAAATATGATACCTCCAGTAGCAATCACACCTGATTGAGAAACCCCTCTCCTAATCTTTTATTCAAGCAAAAAAACTTCGACTATATATAGTAAATTAATTTAAATATCACGATCCTCTTCTTCCGAAGGGTTGGTTGTGAATAACGCGAATTGATAGCCCAAAAATTTCCCAAGAGAATCAATTGAAGGAACGCTTGTAGATCCATCACAAATTGAGCCATAATTTCTTTGCAGACAAGAAATATCTTTCACTAGTAAATTTTTCTTCATCCCAGAGAAGGGTCACAACGGACATACCTTTCACCCATATGATGTCTGGTGCCAGCTATCCAAAAGGGGACAAGAGTAATAAAAGTTTTGGTAGATAGTGAGCAACAGGAGATGTTGTATTTTAGTCTTGAGTGTAGTTACTTTAAGGGGGGTGAACTCATGTGACGGTCTGTTTTTAAGCATTCTTAGGGAATTTTTTTTGACGACCAGTAAAAAGATAGTATAAGTTTTTTTTTATCATTTATTTATATGTAT